GCTGGGCTGCAGCTTAAAGAAACTTTCTGTACAAGTATTAAGTAGTATTTAAGAAACTTTAAGGAAGCCACCGCCAACGCCCAAAAGAAAATCCCAGCACGAGACACATGCACACATGCTATTTTGGGCGAATAATCTGGCAACGTAATGAGCCTAATTTGGACGCATTCATTTGGAAAATTAAAAATTAAATTGCTCTTGTCTCGCTGTTTTCTCATCATGAAAATATTGTTACAATCTGTTGTAATAAATCTCATTAACGTGCGACATACAACAAAATGGCATGGCAAAGACAATAACGCGCTGACATTCATTTGTGCCTGAAGGATCTCAAAAGGAGCTGCTGCTCAATTTTTGGTTTCAAGTATCAAAAGTAAAAATGTATGTAAACAAAATGCAAGCTTGACTAGGCTGCCCGACATGGTGATACCCTGGAAAGAAGCTATGATACATACGTACCGAAATAGTAATAAAAGATGTAATTTTTATTGTTATTGTTATAGATTGTTTATCTAGAATTATATCACTTAAAATGTATCTGTATATTTCATTTAAGAACTATTTATGCTAAACATAGTTTTCTGGGTTATATTTTTAATGTATCCAATTTTAATTGACTTTATAATCAAAGCTTATCGATTTGGTGATCGATACTTATCGATTTGATAATTATTAAGAAAAAATTTGATTTGCCTACGACACAATCGAAAGACGGACAGACAGATAGACAGACTATCTATATTATTTCCTCTTCTTGTAACAAGCAATCGTCAAATTTCGTTAAACCCATTTCTAATCATACACTGTGTTTACTGGAAATACAACATAATTTTATTTGCATTGAGTGTTGGGCTGTTTTTCTTAGAATCGCATTTCAACAATGTTTGATAATATAAAAATATAATTTCGTAAATTGGTTCAAGCTGCGCATAAGTGTTTCTGAATAATCTCTTGCATTTAGTTTTGTTTGCGTTAGCCGCTGATAAAAGTTGCTAAGCAAAGTAACAGAAAATTAGCTGCAATAAAATTGTGTAAGAGTTAAATGTATTCCAAAGATATCGCATATTTATGTATATATTTTTATATCTAAACCAAGTGGTTTTTCATCACAAAACATTTGCATCGCTCGAGGTAAAGCTGGAAAAAAAAGGTAACGCAGACAATTCGCTTATGGCAAATGCTGGTTTGAAATTGTATTTTATCGGCAGCCAGATGCTTGGCAACAAATATAGCCCGTAAATATATACAATAACCGGAAAGCAATTGCTTCACGCCATTCGAGCCGCTGAAATATTAGCCTCGTTTGCCCGGCGGCCCAACCGGCGGAGGACCAGTTGTTATCCATGTCCCGAACCTCTCCTCTTCCTTGACCTGGTTATGGTAGATATTCTGTGCATTTTCCTTTTTTTACACTGATTGAATATGGCCAAACATCTGTTCGGGAAGGAAATTTAAAGTGAGGCAAAAAGAGGTATTGAAGATGTTGCGCACGAATTGTTAAAATAAATATTTAAATATTCAGCAGCAGCTTCTTCAAATTTATGTTTGCATGCACTCCGTAAGCCTGGCATAAGCTGGATGTCTTAAATTTAAGCAGGCAATTGAGAAGGGAACTCGCAGATCAATGTCAATTGGGAATACTTATGTTATATAAATATTTATAGTCAGAAAAATGACAAAAGATAAGGTGATGCAGGGCGAGAGTGGGAATGTTGAAAATAAAATGCCCTTGGATAAATAATAAAAGTCCATTAAATGCCAGTTGTACAGAATTCCATTGCAAATGTGAAAACAGTATCAAATTCGGGCAAATTTTTCATTTTGTATACCATCCGATCATGCGTTTTCTTTAAGATATATCAAAACCGTGGCGACTTGCGTCTAAAAATTCATCCCCTGTGTAAAAAAGGAATATAAGGTTGAAAGGGCGAAAGTTAAAGTCTGTAGAATATGTTATGCAAAACATAAGCTAATTCGCCCGTAGCAGTCTTACATCCACCCTCTATGCGATAAATCGATGTAAGATTTGCAAGTTTATAATACATACTTTATAATACTCTGTTCCCAAACGATTAATAAATCATTACCTATAGGTGCCAATCACATAATCATGCTTGTTTATTTACATTTATTTATATCTATATTAAATATAGTATATTTCTTATACGAAGTTTATCTCCTACCTTAACTCATCAAGCAACGTCGTCTAATAATACCAGTTCGTATTAAATAATTGCTATACCATTGCCATTTTATTTTGCAACCAAGCACATTTACCGTACCACGCACCCGCATCAATCATCGAGTGTTTGGCCAAATAGACTTCAAAGCCATAAACCCATCAACAGCTTGAAGCAAGCGGCTAACACGGCGCTTGCCTCAACCAACTCAAATATTGACGGTTCAGGCACACACACATAATTGAGCCAGCGTTCAGCGCACTCAAAGAAAACACTCTAACACATCGTTCTTTTATACTCTATTTACACAGCGAAATAGAGTATATTTGTTGCTTTCCAGTCCACACCGCGGTAACTCACAGTTCGAAATGCACAGATTAAATGTAGCCGACGTGCACAGAGTATGGCGCAGTCGGTTTTACTTGATTGCATGTGTTTTTTTTTTTTTTTTTTTTTTTTTGTGGTTTAGTATGGTTGAGTATTTGGTCAATAGGTTTTTGGCTTTTTGGGCAGTAATAAACTTTTTGCAGGCTCACAATGCATGCCCAGCCGCATGACCATGCTCCTGCTCATCCTCACTTTCCTGCTGTGTCCGCCTCCAATTAGAGTTGTGCTGATTTGGCGTACTTAGCAAACGGTACGCCTCGCTGCCCGCCCCTCCCCTCTCCTACCCTTCCCATAAGGGTGGTGTTAGGCTGATTCGGTTTAGCTCGATTTGGACTGCCTGTTGTTGAAAACCCATTAAGATCATGCTCCATTAATTGAGTACTAATGAAAACGCCAGTCGCGGCCAGACTAGGCCAGGCCAGGCCAGACCAGACCAGACCAGACCAGACCAGGCCGTACGTACTTGTAACTGGGCGTGTCTGATGCCGCATCGAAGGCGGAGTGGGTGTCAAAATTGTGCATGTACCAAATGGTTTTTGGCTACTGTAACCGCCGTCGGGGTAACAAATTAAGTTACACTTTCAGAACGCCAAACGAATCGTGGTCAGAGAGAAAAACTGAAACAGAGCACTATGAGTAGCCATAGTAGTGGGCATGGAAACGAAAGTGGAAACGGGGAAATGGTAAATGGGATAGGCAATTTGCCAGAAATTTTTCCGACTACACAAAGAATAAAATATGCATGGCTATGTTTGGAGTTTCGATGGGACCATGTCGCGAGCAGCTCTCGCCCCGACACACTCCCGGCGATTGGATGGATACGTAATTGTAATTAGCGTTGAAACGAATCAGACGAACAAAGAAGCCATCGGGATGAGGCCGGAAATGTTTGTAGTAGCTGTGGGTGTGAAATTGGCACAGCGCTTAAATTGTTCTAAGTGGGTTAACACAGCAGATAAGGGGCATACGAAATGAGTTAGGATCGTAGCGTCGATAATATGCAACGCTTTTTCCTTTCCGGGCAGCTGTAATGAAAAAGTGCTGAGGGCGTGTTCTACATAGAACGATTGATTTATTTGCGTTTTCAATAATTTATGATTCAGTTCTTAGATCTTTGTTGATGAATCTTAAAAACACTTCAAGTTTCTTTGAAGCGGGTTTGCTTTTAAGAAAATGTCAAAAACTTAAGGCTGACTTAATAAATAATTGGAAATTGATTTGAGAAAATCCGAAAAATTATTTTGTTGCGGAGAGGAGGGATAGAGGAATATGTTATTTTTATTAAATTGCATTTACAATTACAAATTATATGAATTAAATTAATTATTAATAAGTTCCAAAATTTATTTTAAATTAAAATAAAAACCTTTATATAAATTAACTTACTTAAGTACCTATTGAATTTCCCACATATATATTTTAACAAAAACTACTTAAAGTATCTTTATTATCGAATCTTGTCCCTGAGCAATACAAGCCACACAAAATGCACAAAACGTTCCTTACAAAAGGGGATTAAAATGAAGTTGGTGGCTGCTGCACTTAACCAAAACGCAATAAATCAAAACACCTGGCAGGGTACTTATAAACTCTGCCAACAACAAAAAACAATGGCGCGAAAAGAGCAGCAACTGAAACAAAAGGGAAATCAAAAGTTTTGCTACAGGCAAAATCTAGAGAAAAGGCTAAGTAAGAAACAAACTGAGGGCAACAGCAACAGCAATAACGACAACAACAAACTTTCACGTAATACAACAATAACAACAGGTGTTCGACACAGTTTCTATCAGCCATACACACATACACACGCAGAACACACACGCACACAGCACGCGCTTAGCAAATGAACATTTTATGTTGCCTACTTTTGAGCGCCGCCTTCCCACGTACAACACGACGTATGCGTGTAGCGTGAAACGTCTTTTGTGTTCAATTCGCAATTTTTAAAGTAGCATTTTAGTTAAGAAAAAAAAAAGAATAAGATTTAACAAAATAAAAACAAAAACCAGAGCAACTGTGATAATGCCGCATCAAAAGTGAAAAACTTTAAAGCTGTAAAGTTTTGTTGCACAAAACTTGGCTCACACCTTTTGTGGCTTTGGGGTTGTGTGTGAGAAATGCAGCTGAAAACTTGCAGCCGCAATTCAATTAAAACTTCACTGTAACACACACATACACACACCCCCACACAAGCACACACAGTTGCATCTTAAGCAACACTTGGATGAAATGCCAAGTCTCTGACTTCAGCTGTCGCCATATGTAAACAAACGCTGCCGAACGTTGGCAAAAGAGCATCGCACACAGCCGGCATTCTTTGCATCCTTTGGCAGCCAAATCATAGCTGCGTTTTATCCGCGCCGACGCATTTGGGAGGACCGCAACGCAGTATAAAAGCAGCTGCCTCAAAGTAGTTGGCAAGCAGTTGGCTCGCGTCGCGTTCACCGAATGCCACAAATCTTGGCTAAGAGCGGAGTTGGCAACAGTCAGCTGGACAACTTGTAGATGTTGATTTCGTAGCCAAATAGTGTAAAGTTTTCGTGGCCAAATTGACTCAATTAAAAGCTACTCAAATATACAAATAAAAAAAATCAAAAAAACTTTTAACTCCAATCAAGCAATTTTAACTTGCAACAGTTTGTGGCGCGTATTAGCTATTGTGTTGCAGCATGTTGCTATACGCAATTAAGTAAACTGTAATTGGTTTTTGATTGTGGTTACGTGTAATTTAATTGGCTTGGCAATTAGCTGGGCAATCAAACAATTTAATGAAATACTGTGAAATGCGCACAATAATCACAAAGCCGTCAGTTTCATGTTAGTTTGTGGCTTGCCAATTATGTAACTAAATAGAAACACTTCAAACTGTTTAATATTGCTTGAATAAACCTGTTTATTGATGAATTCAATTAATTAATTGCCTAAAATGCCATTAATATTTAATTTCATATAATAACTTTCCTCACGTGATAGTTAATAATATATTTAGAGTTTTAAAAAGCTAAAAAAAATTCAAATATGTTTTTTTACCCCGTTAATATTTATATTTTAACTAAAACATATGTTTTTTATTGAATATTAAGTTTTTGCATTAAAATCATAAATAAACCGACTTTTGTTTGCCTTTACGCAGTTAAATTAATATTTTCACAATGCTAAAGCCAAAGCAAAAGCTTGTGTAACTATTTATTAAACTTAATTTAAATGAATGACTGCAACATTTTAATTGAATAAATTACGGTGTGAATTATTCAAGCATAAACGGCAATATGCACAAACTACAAGAAACGAGCATAAACATTTAATTAAAACTTTCAGGCTAAATATCAGAACTTTTGTAAGAATACAAATTTATCTGTGAACTTATTTAATCACTCAGATACAGTTTTTCATAGACTCTGTGTTTCTTCGAGCGGGAAATATCAAGCAGTGGGTAGCTTTAAAGAGAGCTACAACCAAAAATAATTATTAGAAATATTCGCCACAATAAGCAAGACTCTAATTAAGTGAGAGTCTTTGATGTATGCATATGTCCACTACAGACATTGGTAAATGTTATTCACAAGCAATTCCAACTGAGTGCCAAAATTGAATATGATGGATACTTAAAAGCACCGTGGATAGGTCAGTTAAAACAAGAACAGAGCGGTGAGTAATCTTAAGATGGTTATTTACATTATTTTTATATATTTTTCCTTTTCATAGGCTTATCATTTGTGAATTATAATGATTAGCTCATATTCTATGCTTTTTGACTGCTTAATTCGAATTCTTCAACAATATTTGAATTTAAATATCAACTTGTCTTTTATAAGAATAAATGAAATACTTGAACACAGCTTTTCCAAAACACATAAAAATTGTATACAGAACGGGAAAGACAAAGAACCCACAAAATATATTTAACTGTGGGCTGTCTTTGCTATCTTATAAAGCTGGCTGCTTTGAAGATTGATTTATGCGCTTGTATGTTTTTATGTGGCTCTGAGCGGATGTGTGTGTTTGGGGCAGAAATATGCTGCAAAGGACACATGTGCCGCATTGTGCATAATTGAATATGGGGCAGCTTGTTTTAAGTCATTTTACAGTCGCAATTGTTTCTAAAAAACACAATAAAAAATCTCGCATTGTTAATGGCAATGGGGCAATGACAAAAGCACCCCAGCGCTTGCTGTTTTGAAAGCATAAGGGAAAGCGCTAGAAAATATACAAAAATAGAAAAGGTAACAGGTTAATGTGCAAAGTTTAGCAGCGATAGCGTAGAATATTCCACGATTTGTATATGTAAAATGCAATAAAATTAATGTATACATAAAGATAATATAGAATGAATGTTATGTGCTTGTGTGTGTGTGAGTGTGAGTGTGTGTGGCTCAATAGTGCCCGCATCATTGTGGCATTCTGATCTATGGTAATTTGCAAGTTAAATGTCCTTAGCGATAATGTTCATAATTTACGAGCAAGAGTAATACAGGAGCGGAATTGACACTGAGCGAGCAGTTGGGCGCCAGGGTAAATGGGGCTCATGAGCTGTTGAATCTACAATAAGCTACTCAAATTTTATTTGTTTATTAATTCAAATTGCATTTGGGGTAGCAAAATAAATAATAATAATAATAATAATAATAAATATATAATTTTGCACTACATATCTCCGCCGTTCCACAAGCAAAGACATATCCCCGGCGAAGCTATGTCGCCTTAAATCAACATAATCTCCCCGTGGTCAACGGCGGAGTTGTGTCGTTTCTAAACGTAGATATGTAAACATTAATTTAAACATTCCGATACCGTTCCTGAACTTCAAGGGCATAACGCCCATGGCATTGTTGGGAAAGCACAACAGAAGACACGCAGGAGCAAGGCTATAGGTCTTATACCATTAAGTGGCATTATAATTATCATCTGCACAGCGAGCAGCACTAAGTGCTGAGAGCAAAGAAGCTTTTCCTTTAACTGAGCAGCTCTTTCACCTATAAAGTTAGCTTTTGATGTGCTCATTAAACCATGAATGAGGCCACTTAAATCGCACGGGTTAACTGCTAACGTTTATGCCGTGGCTACTGCCACTGGTTATCAGCCAGCAAATTAGTATTTGGAGAGGCGCCTAATCACAGCCGAAAATTAAAAGCCTGCCCAATTAGTAAATAAGGCGCTTAGTTGTTAATTAATTGCTCAGGCGAGACAGAAGGAATTAAATGTGCGAGAAGAAGGCGAATGATACGTATTTTGCTTGAACAGCTTATTGAGCTTGGAAAATTTTGAATCCGATGATTATCAATTTCTCGGTCGGGATTCCCATTTTCTTTTCTCAGTATAAATTCAAATTTTTGGTAAATGTTTATTTTCAAGAATTATTTCTTTAATTCCTTAAATAAAATACGAAACAATTATAAATAAGAAAAATATTCAAACAGATAATTGATAAAAAAAAATATTAAAACGTATTGTGCATATCTCTATGGTGCATAGTCTAGCAAAACATTTTTTTTTTTCAGATCAATAATACTCGCAGCAGGTGTATATCTTATATACTCGTAGCGGGCCCTTCTTGTCTGTTAACCATGTTGATATTGTCTGAGATTAGGATTTTAAAATTAATTGTGCGCATAAATTTGCCGGAATGCGCTGCGGGCCGAGGGCCAGATTTAACATCCTTTCAGTTTCCGGTGCCAGGGCATTTGGTTAATGGAGCACACAACCTTTTGGCCTTTTGTTGTTTTTTCTGTTGCTGTTGATGTTGCCGTTTGCTGATGGGCTATAAATTTACTTTCGTCTCAAATGACTTTGCATAAACAAAAGCTGAAAATTGAAATACATATTACACTTCTCCGACTAACTTATTTGCGTAGTTGTTAAGTGGGCTTACGTAAAATCATTATTCTCGAAATTGGCATCAGAATTAAGTAATTTGGATGCCTGATAAATGGTGGAATTAGTGCAACTCCCTTTAGGCCAACATTAATTCAAAGGACTTTTATATTTTAATAAGCTCAATCGTTTTTGAGTTCATCAATAAAAGTAAAAGATCCAAACTTTAGCTCGTTAGCTGGGTAAATATTTAGATAATCAGCTAAATAAAGTTCAGGTATGTTACTTAAGAGCTTTGAGCTTTGAATTGGTCAGAATATTTATTTAAAGTAAATAGTATCTACGATTATTTATTTTACTAAAAGCTAACACATTTTAAGATAAACAAGCTTCAAATTCCAAACTGGATAAACAGAAGCTCTTCAGAGACTCTTTAAGTTCTACGACATTTTACAGCACAGGCTTTTTAAATGGAGTACAAATAAGTATATATGTTCTTCGGTGATTATATTATCATTGTCATGCCGAGACAGATGCGTAAAGCTGTTGCTGCTGTCTAAGTGAATAAAAAGTAGAAGACGCACGAGATATAAATCAATAAAATCGGAATTTAATATAGCCACAATACGTGGCCCGACAAAAAGAGAAGAAGAAATGAGAGAAGAGTTTAGAAAGTGCGGTAGGTCGACCTTTGTATACCCTTGCACAAATTAAAATTTGCTCAGCTAATTGTATTTTAAATAGTAATCAGCGGAGTCTGCAATGTATTTTCTATTAATATACGGCATGACTGATAAAAAAATAAAAATATATACATATATATTACTTAAAGCCATCGTATGGCTCTCCACTTTAGCCTACGTTCGATTCTTGGTTTTTTCTTAAAGGAAACAAAATAATTCAGGTATGGAAATTTGTTTAATAAATTAGATGAAACAAAGAAGAAGAGAAATGAGAGGCTTGCACCGGTTGGGATTGAGCCTTGCCTTGATTTTAGATAAAAGAATCTGAGTATTTGTACAAGCTAAAAATATGCTAAAATATATGATTGTATTCAAAAATCTCAATTCACACAACAGGCGATCAGCTTATATTATATTATTCTCATACGAATTTTTTACGAAATACTCCTGCTGCATGACACGTCGAATATGCTTTTTGCTAGGGCATACGCGCAGTGCAAGGCGGGCGAACAAAATGTTATGCAGGAATTTTTGCGTTCATTGATAAAGTTCGTCAGCAAACAAGGGAATCAACGCAACCCAACCCAACCCATCCTGTCCCTCGTCTTCTCGGCCCGTTCACCCCGTTGCCCATGGCAGTTGGCTCAATTGTGTTGGGTGCAAAATAATTTACATATTATGAGAGCTGGCAAAAAAAGTGGGATAGTACGGAAAAACTGCACGAGTGCGTGGCAAATGGCGGGGAATGGAAAATAGGAACCACTCGATTGAATGGCAGTCGCTGCTGTCGCCCGACAATGGTTGCGGACACCTATCAACTACTTGGATGTCCATTTTTTTATCATCTCTATGGCATGTGGAATATGCGACACTAAAATGGAGCTTCAAAATGTGTGGGTATTTTTTTTCGCGTCTTTCTTTCGAATGGTGCGCGACAAATCTGTGTGGCATATGGGTTGGCAATTGGTTATTTTATAGCAGTTTTTATTGTGGTTTAAGGATAGAGAAAGCACAGAAAGCATTATTTATGCCAAGCAGAGGACACGAATATCAGTTGCCGTAATCCGCATAATGGTGAGCCCCAGCTTACGGCCCAGCGAATGTCTGGCTCTTTGAGGTGACGCCATAAAATTAATTTTAAAACATTTCGAGCTTAATCATTCGTGCTGATAAAAGGCGACAGTTGTCCCCGAGGATAATTGCGTATGCGTGTGGCACACACAAGCAACTCAGACCCAAAACAGAGAAAGAGAGAGAGAGAGAGGGACAGAGAGAGAAAAAAGAAACGAGGATGTTAAGTCAAAATGACTACGTCCAGGGGCATTTAAGGCATAATTTGTGCACAAAATATATTTGCTGGCTTATGCAGAAAATTTGCCTCCCAAACAGGAAGCCAACTTTGAACCACCGACCGCCAACAGCCCAGTGGCAATTCTCTCTGCGCCACTTGTAGAACTTTACGAAAACGTGCGGCGCTTTTCAACTCTGGCCGGGCGTACGAGTGGGCGGCTATCAGTTTTACGAGTCCTTTGAGAGTCGTACTTGTTAAATTTTCGACCCGTCCTTACTCTCTGTTGGGACTCGGGTTTGGGTGTCCGGGGAACCGGTCGAAACATGCCAGAGATTTGCGTTTGGCAACTGGCTTTTGATATTCAATCATGTCGAGCATTGCTAACGAAACGCACAACTTACCAGCACACACACCCGGACACACACACACACACACACAGCCGGACAAACGCACACATACACCGATTGGTGGACATTCAACTGGCCTTCAATTTATTTGTAATAATAGTCTCTCATTTTTAAATGTGGCCTTTTTTGCTTTAGCTATTTTTTTTTCCTATTTTATTTATTGTCTGCATTGCCTTTTATTATTCAATCGCAAGCCAAATATATTTCTTTTTTAATTTTATTTCTTTTAAAATTCAAACTGAAATGATTCAATGATTTTTTACGGATCAACAGCTGGTCCCATATCAAACTGATTGAGGCAAAAAGTTTCCTAGAAAATGAAAAGTTTTTACTAAATATATTTAATTTGAAAAATGGTATTTGATTGATAAATAGAAAAAACTTTTTTTTTGTTGGGACAAATGTTACAAATGTGAGAAAAAGTGCTAATAAATGGCGAGTATTTATATATAACAAAGCAAAAAAGGTTACATAACTAAAAAGCCAAATTCAACAAATGGAAATTCATTTAAAATTCTTACTTTGTCATCCATGTTCACTTTTCACATTTGGTTTTAGATGTTTTTGTACTAAAATTAACTTTAGTCCCACAAAATACTCTTTACATTTGTCTAGCTGAAACTTAATTGCTCTCAACTGGATCTATGTGGTTATATTTTAATTTAAATTGTCATCTCTTAGGCCTTATAACCGGTTTATTTGGTATTCAACTGCTTTTAACCGATTGCTTGTCTATTTGGAAGAAAAAAGTTCAACAACGAAATAAAAGTGGCTACCAGGAGCAATGGAAAAATAAAAACAGAAAAACAATAACAATTACACTGATTGCCGCCCCCGGAGACTCTGCTGAAAGTTGAAAGTGAACTGACGAATGGTCACGAAATGGAAAATGCCATCGGAACCCCTAGACCGTAACTCGGCCGCTTCTACGGTAGACTTGACCGAGTTACTAGCCCTCTACCCTGCAAAAGGGTATTATAAGTTTGTCACAGAATGTGTCACACATGGCAGTATGCATCTACGATCGCATTGAATATGATCCTGATTCGAGTCGTCATAGCCATGCCTGTCTTGATGAGATTCGCCATTCATCTTTTATTGAATCATATATGTACATAAAGATATCATATAGATTTCGGGCTTAGTATATTTTCAAGATAGTTTAAATTTAAATGTCAATTACAAGATTTATAGTTTTATTTATATATATATGGACCTACTGTACAGAAGATATATTAGCCATATGTAAAATTGTTCGAAAATTGAGTTCTACAAAAACTGTGTTCAGTTGGGAAAGTATGCAAAGGTGTACAATATTCGTCTATTCTGGACATTGTTCTGATGATTCTTGTTTTTTGTTTTTCTTTGTTTTACTGGAACAGACAATGCCATAAAACAATTGAGAGCTCAATTTTGCACGGCCGGTGGGTTTTATTTTACATAACTCCTTCTGTTCGAGAAAAAAGGATGCGCCTGCAGCGCAGGATATGCACATTGCGAATGATTTCAGTGGCAGTCGTAACTTTGTTAGTCCCGCATACACACACGCACACACACCGCCAAGGGGCAACTGCCAACATTTATCTGGCAAAATGTTTTGCCCTGCCATTACTCGCATTGTTTCTGCCAGCAGCAGGATGTGCTGCCCGGATAAGGATGGGGCGAGCTATGAGGCTATGCATCGCTTATGTGCGTAAAAATTCTATTTGATTATTGCACGTTTATGTTGGCGAAGAATGGCCCAGGAGCCAGCAGCCAGTAGCCAGCAGCCAGGAGCCAGCAGCCTGGACAATGCATGGCCATTGAATTTCGTTTGCTTCTGCCTGGCTTAGAGAGCTACGAAATAGCTAAAATATTTATTCGAAATATTTATTTCCTGCAGCAGGATACGAAAGAAAATGCATTGACTTTGATGGCGCACACACTGCGTTATCCCCCCTTTAAAGAGCGGCACCCTATCAAATCGTGTGCTGAGTAAAGCAAAAATCTTAAATGGACTGCATCAAAGGATTTCGTTTAATTATTTCTGTGGTCTGTGCGGGGAATGGAAACTGGGTCTTCAGCAGCATGGCAACGTTTCTTCAACTTTAATAGCTGCAATAAATTTCAAACTGAAACATTAAACATGTCCCAGCTATATATATTCCGGGTCATGTTGTGCACGTTCCACCCATGTAATCCCCAATTGCATGGCCAGTATGCAAATAAATGTCCAGAATCTGCAAGTGAAATTATTTTCTTTTAAGTAGGTAATCAAGAGCAATGAGGCAGCTCGCCGTGCACAGTATATAGTCCGTTTGCGCTCATTTTGAAAGGGTTACGTTTGGATATGCTTAAGACGAGCAAATACTTTTGACTTCTTTCGCTTCTCGCTTCACTTCTTACTTCACTTCACGCATTGCTTATTTTGCTGGTCACTGTGCTGTTCGCTTGCTTTACGTTTTCTCTCTACGGGATTCTTTTAATTTATTGCTTCGCTTCTCTCTTCACCTTACATTTTAGCTGCTCCCTTCGCTTCTCGCTTCCCCGTGCCCCTCGTTTCTTGCTTGACGCTGTTTCTAACTTCGGCTCTTACCTTCATAATAGTTTCTCTTCTCAATATGTTTCTCGCATCGCTTCCTTAGCTTATTTCTCTTCTCTTCTCACTTTAATTTACACTGTGCACTTGCTGTATACTTTTAAGCTCTCTTTTAACCTTAAGTCGTTTCTCACTTATCTTCGCTTCGCTTCTTGTTAATTTAATGATTTGCACAATTGGCTTCTCATTTCTCATCTCCATTTGTTATACTCCACTACTTACTACGTTTCTGTGCACTTAACTTTTCTTCTCGCTCTACGCTTCTCGCTTTGTTGCGCAAACTGTAATTTTTCGGTTAGTTTCGTTTCTCTGACGACCTGCATAATCATAAATTATGGTTTACCTAAGAATAACATTCAATTTATTTAAATGAGCTTTACCCATTGTCCCTGCCATCTTTGTCTCTCTAACTTTTTTGTGTGTTTTATCTTTGCAGCATAGAAATGAATGTCAACGCGTTTTAAGTGCGCTCAGCTCTCGCTGCTGGTGGCCCATAAAAGAATCAGGGCCGGAACGTGACTTTTGGTGCAAGTAAATTGAAGCCGCAGAGCGATAAAAAAGTGCAATGCCAACCTGAGCGTAATTCGTTAGCGAAATCAAACAGATAAAAAAATATTTATATATATATACATATATATATCGTTTGTCCATGGCGGCCACTTCAGCTGCATCAGGAATGGGCGCAGCCAGGGGACTGCATCATCTATCCTGCCCGGCAATTTGGATGCTGCTGCTGCCACTGCTTGCCGCAGCTGCGACGGCAGCCCCTACATCAACGACGACCGCGGATCGTCGTCGGTGCGCACACAAAGGCATCGCAGAGCTGATTCGCACCAGTCCGGTAATTGTCAAAGCTCTGGCAGCTCGCATCTTCACCGATGCCGAACTGGCCGAACAGGCGGTGGACACGGCCTTTGCATCGCAGGCTGCCACAATTTTAATAACATTAACTCCTGAAACGATATACAAAGGCGCATCGCTGCTCAAAATGGCCAATGGCGCCGCTGCTGGCAGCCTGGGCGCCGACGGCTCTGCATCCAGCGGAGCGCGACGAGGCGGGCTTTTCAGCGGCTCCAATGCTTGGAGTGGGAGCGGTTCAGCCTATCAGTATGCGGGGTAAGTGCAGCTAATTTTTTAATAAAAATCAAAAATCATGTTTAAAATTTGCAAATTGCAATGTTTGGATTTATCCTTAAGGAAAGCTGATGTTCCAAGAAATCAACTTTTGATTCCCGATTATCATTAAGAATATTTCCTTTAAAAATAGTTTATCTCTTGACAGGGCTACCTCCTGAATCAGAAGTATGTACAATCTTAGACACTTAGCACATATTTAAACAGAAGGTATTGAAACAGCTTAGATTGTAAATAAAATTTTACTTTTTTTATTTATAAAAAATATACAATTCAATTAGGGTCATTGCTCAGTATTAAAAATATAAAATGAATTATCGGAGTATCTCGATATTTAATTTGGCGAATGTGCATCGGCCTCATAGTTAATTAAGAACTGAAGTAGGAGAATGCCGCTATGAATTGGATGCCTAATTGCATTTTCAACAGATATGTGGTGCCCATACTTAGTGGATGTGCGGTTTCTCGTTTTGTGCTGACTCTTTATTGGCTTTAACTTTACCTACCCGTTTTTCCCTCTCTTGGCTCTCTCATAGGCAACTGAATGCCACATTGCAGCCGCTGCAATGCTTCGATGCTAATATGCTGAAAATGTTGCCCACGGAATTAATTGCTTTTGGCAAATTACTGCCTGCCTCAGCGGTAACTGGCACCGGCTTCCCAGGCAGCCCGGGGGGCGCAGCTGTGGCCTCCAGACAGATGCAGCGACCGCCGCAGGGATCAGGCTTGGGTGGTGCCGTTGACATGGCCAACGACAAGGATGTGCTGCATATCAGCGTCAACGGGCTGCATCGTTGGACGCCGCAATTCGAGAATCATATCTGGAAGCATTTGGGTAAGTTGAACCTTTAAGCCTGCTTCTTGTTGTTGCCCCAATTTTCGCAGTGTTTGTTGTTTTTGTTGTTGTCACACTTCCGCTTGTTAATCGCATTTCGCCTGTTGGTTGCATTGTTCAGCAAATCTCCTTTGCGGATGTTTGTGGAGTTTACGTGCATCTCCGGTTCGAGTTTCGGAACTACAACGTATAAGTAGCTCGGTGGACTGCTCAGTCGGCCAATCAAACCTAAATGCTGGCTCCCCAATTTCCCCCATATCAAGTTAGTCCACGTGCATACGACAAGAGTTTTTCTTTTTTCTTTTCACTTGCCTGAAAGCTATCAGGTTTACTTGACTTGATTTGAAATTTAATAAATATTTCCAATAAAAAAAGACTCAAAATTCTTAAATATATCATAAATATGAATAGACTGTTAGCTTTCAGCTTTTCTTGACTTGATTTTTAGTTAAGGAAATATTTTCAATAAAAAAGAAGAGAAAATTCTTCAATGTCATACTATAAATATCTATGGAAAATGATTTTCATAGGCTTTAAGCTGAAATTCAACCCCGATATTTTCTAATTTAGTTGCGTTAAATACAAAACAATTTATAAATGTATAACGCTTAGCTAAATTATGTTGCAACTCTTAAGGACAACGCGTAGTTCGAAATTTTTTCCTTCATACCTTTCATGTTTCTAATCAATTAATCTGAGATGAAGATTGATAAGTGGCAGCCCATCGAAATTACCCAACAAACTTGTTGTCATGCCTGTGTGCATGCACAGCTCGTTCTATAAAAAATGTATACTATATAAAAAAATATTTCGATGATGATGACGCAGCATGCGTCCGTGTGTCCGATTATCCTTCTGTGCTGACAGCACAAGCACGAGGCGCTTTCAGACTGACTGCAGCCCTTGAGGAAAGTAACACTTGACTTTTGTGTCAAGAGATAGATAGTATGACCCCCCCATCCGACAGCCACACACGCAAAAAAATTGTGGCAACAATTCAAGAGGGTTTTTTTTTGGGTGAAAGGCAGAACATATAAACCAAGCTTAGATTTTTTTTTATATTTTTAGTGATTATGACTGGCATAGTTGCATAGATACAGAGATTCACAAATGTAGTTACACAGATACATGGATACAAAGATGCACAGATACATACATGCGTACATATATCCACATGAGCTCGGCGTATGAGGCATTTTCTTTTTTTTTCCATAAATATTTAGTTTCCAATTCCTTATTGTGCTACATGTTGTTAGTTGTTTTTTGTTTTTTAGCCATAGTTGAATTCAGGGTGAATTTCCTGTGTAAGGCCTTACTAGCTATTTCAACACTTGACATTTGTTATTTGATTTTTGCTTTGTGTCGCATCCTTAAATTGTTTTTTAGCAAAAAATAAAACTGCAAGATGCTCGTTAGACGTTTTGTAATCCTGGTTAGTCAGATTCGTAGACCCAGTTTAATCGCAGTTCCTTCAATTTTAAAAAATATTCGCTTTCAAGCAAGGTTTTGAATGTGCCCCTCAATAGTTGTCATTATAGTTAACTGCAAAGAGCTAGCAATATGCCGCCTATTTCACAGAGTTAATGCAATGCTAATCGTTGCGAGAGTTGGGCAATTTAATGGACAAGTGCTGCATTCATCAATTATAGGCTGGGACGATTGGAGCGATTTTACGCTTTGCAGCGTCACCTGCGGCAAAGGTGTGCAGCAGCGTTTCCGTCGCTGTCTGCTGGACAATCCACTGGTGAACATTAACATGAATATGAATCTGAATCTGAATCTGGACGATGACGACGCGATCGAAGAGGAGGAGGAGGTGGCAGAGGAGGAGCAGTTGGATGTCGAGGACGCTGACGAGGCGAATAATGATGCAGCAGAGACAACGACAGCGGCAGCAGCAGCAGCAGCAACAGCAACAGCAGCCACATTGAATGCTGATAATAATGAAGTGCTCAGTCAGGACGACTTTGCCAGTGCGGGTGGAACAGAGGACGAGCCAGAGGATACGCTGCTGCTGATGATGCAACCAGCAGCAGCTGTTGACCTCCCACTCGACCCAACGAAGCAGCAGTCGATGAGCACCCAGACAACGACAACAGCAACTGCAACTGCAAATGCAGCAGCAGCAGCAGCAGCAGCAACTGGGCCAACAAGCGGCGGTAATGAAGCGACAGGCACAGGTGTCAGCTTTGTGGCAGTTGCACGTAATGACCGTCGCAGGACACGTGCAAATAATCAGCACAAAAAACGCAAAGTGACCAAGAGCCTAGCCCTATCCACACTGCTATGCGAGGGCTACAACATCGAGCAGCGCAACTGCAACAGTTTCGAGTGTAGCGGTAAGTGTTGCCCTCATCCTGCAGAGTCCTTTACTGTGTACTAACTGCCCAGTCCCGCCCCTTGCGCATTTGCAGATGATATCAGCGATTTGCTCAAGTTCTACAAGAAGCTACCCATGCCCGTCGCTGAGGAGCTGCCAACTGTCGCCAGCTACGACAATTCGCCAGCTGAGTTCTCAGAGCTGACAACACCCGTTTCTGTGGGCGTGCCCTCCTCGTCCACGCCCGCAAATATGGGCTACATACGCAGCTGGCGGAATATGCTGAACTTCACATTGATGATCACTCTGAGAGCAAAGGTAACGAAATTGTAAAGAAATATTTTAAATAAGCACCGATCGAAATGTTGTCCTAATTGATCAAATACAGTAGATATATCCTACATACACTTATGAAGACAAGTGTTATCGAAACGTATCGATAATAATTGTCTTGTTATCGATTCGCTTGACGTAGTTCCTAGAGGTTACATTGAGGCTAATGATTTAGTACCAAGCAAAGAATATGAGCGCATGTACTTAAATGAGCGCGAGGCTTTTCCGGAGAGGCTTTCAAGCAAACGGAAAATAATCGCAAGCAAGCTAATACAGATATTTCATTTATAGATCGATCTTTCTCGGCGGAGCTAAATAATTTTAAAACGATTACTTTTCGATTAAAACGTTTGCTTCAAACTTTTTTGTTTACCATCCGATCGGCTTTAAAAAAATTCCCAAAGATCTTTGTCGCACTTTTTGGAAAATCCATCCCTCCTTGGTGAATAAGGAGCTTAAAGATTTGGTGAGTTAAGTTCCGCGCTCAAATTCCTTTCCAAGTTTTAGGTTTTTTCCGATTGCCTTCAAATTAATTCTCTAAACTCTGCATAAGAACTTAATGAATGCTTCAGCGAATTGGCAAATTTCGCGCGCAACAGTGGAAAATTGGCTGAAACGAATTTATGAATGTTTGTTTTACCGTGCGGTCGGCTTAAAACTAGTTTTCAAAGACCTTTGCGCTAATTAATTTTTTACGTGCCACGGGCAACGTCGGGTATACTCGACACAAAGCATTTCACGTAAAGTCATTATAATCTATGCGTCAATAAACATTGCCAAAGAGGTTTTCCACTTTTCATCAATTCATTCATTTTGCAGAATGATACGAAAAATGCCTCGACACTTTTCTCCATACGCAACGGGACACACAATTTGTATCTGGAGGCCTGCAAGGATGGACTCCGTTTGTATCTGGAGCGCGACAATACAACGGAAATGTTGCCGGTGAAATTCAATTTATATGATTATCGTTGGCATCAAGTGGCTATCAGGTGAGTGTGCGAGGGGGAAAGAGAACAGACAGAGAGAGAGAGAGAGAGAGAGATTAAATAGTCGGAGCTGTTGTTGTTGTTTTTTCTAGATAGGCAATCAGTGTGCGTGCTTTAAATGGATTTATGTGGGTGTGCGTGTGTGTGAGTGTGATTCTTGATGGCCATTCCCGTCATTGACACTTTCATTTTATTTGCATTTTCAATTTATTAACATAAATCGCTTGGGCCAATGAAACGCACACAGTGGAGACACTTGAAACACACACTTGACACACATGCAAATAGCACGCACAGTCGCACATAAAAGTACGCACACACACACGAGCACGCACAAACACTCGTATGCACTCAAATACATGAATATCGAGTGTCGCTTTGTTTGCGGCTGTATGTGTGTGTGTATATGTGTATGTGTGAATTTTTATATTCGATACAGCTACACCAGCTGCCAAATTGACACTTGGTTAAAGTGGGCGCCATTTGTCATCGGCCGTTGGCACATTTTTCTATGCCACTGTACATAATACTCTGTATGTCTTTTAATTATTTGCACCGCTCGCCACTCGTGTTGCCGCATTTTTGCTGCACACAGCATACAAAATGGCGATTTCATATCGATTTACGTCGATTGCTTGTGGACAAACAGTTTTGTTGTCTCAAAGCGACTGTTTACGCTGCCCCTGGACGCGGATGTGGAAATTGGACGCGGCTTTAATGTGAGTATTGGGACAAATTCCAAAAAACAAATTGACAAGCGCACAGCAATAAATTGTTGAGCACTTGTTGGCTGACATATTTAATAACTATAGCTTAACGCATTTGGTGATAAATTAATCGAAATCACACAAAAACTCTGTTGAAAGGCAATAACAATTCATTTAAGATCAATTATTGCTATGTAAAGATTTTAGTTAAACCATTTTTTATTTTTGTTTAAATAATGTTATCGACACTTTATGGAAATGCTAATTACTTTTCAGTTTTTAAAGGATCGAAAAACTAAGATTATAAATTAATTGGAATTATACGATGATCAAAATTTTGGTGAAAGCCTTCAACAAGTCAAAGGTCTGAGAAAATTACACACCAGGAAGGCATCATATTGTGTTTATCAATAATAAATCGATATTAAATATCACTATAAATAATTAAAAACAGTTTTAATAACGCTTTGATAACCGTTGAATGCAATTTGAAACATTTTCGAACACAGCTGAACCATAAACGGAAACCATTTTTGTATTATTAATTTCCCAATTGATTTTCACCGAATGTACCGCCCGCAGCGCTGCGAAAAACAACGTGCGACATTTTACAAGCAATTTCGGAATTGCAACTGCCACACTGTCAACGGGCAGGGTGCGGGTGGGGCTGTGGGCTGTGGGCGATAGCCCATAAATTGTGCAAACAATTTAATGCGATAACTGTGAATGCTACGCGGCGTATGCGTTATGCACTTTAAATGCTGTATAAAGCCGATAACGCATACGCCTCGTTGGTCCCATAAAAATACTTAATATGCAGATAATTGCCATTCAAACGTTCACTTTTAATATATTTAAGCAAAATACATGCATACATATATATATATTTTCAGGGGGAGCTGCAACAGTTGCTGGTACTGCCGGAGCACCAAGAGCGGCTGCAGTGCAGCAACAAGAGGACATCTATTAACGAGGTGAAGCGCTACATTATCGACACATTCATCGAGGACTATGCCAGCAATTGAGGCGTGACGACATTTATATATGCATGGTAAACACAGCCTATACAATGCCAATAACAGGAGCCAAATCAAATGAGAATCGTAAATGTATTTGAGTTGCAAACATGTGAATGTGTAATGAATAATGCAAATCATTTTGAATGCGGCATTCAAATTCAATGGCTAGAAATTTCAGTCTATAAAACTACACATAAATATGCAAAAGCATTGATATATATAAACACACTACATATATACATAAATATATATTGTGATTGATGTTTCCTAGCAGCGCATTCAAGTATTGTAAATTATGCTCTCGTGTGTGTGTTTGTGTGTGTGTTATTTTGTAATTATAAATGCACCCACAGTATACGCACGAGTGTTTATCAAGTACTCACCGTAGTATGAACACAATTACGATTAATGCTTACGATATTGCACTATATTACACATGAACACATGTATGTGAATGCCAAAAAAATGTATTTGTAATAATTTAAGTTGATTTGACAAAAAACAATAATTATAATGCAAAAAAGGAACGAAATAGTAAAATCAAAAAAAAAAAAAAATAACCTATTATTATATTCATGTAAAATGTGCGGCAAATTGCGTAAATGTAATATCGAATATGATATAAAAATGGAGCAAAAAGTAAAAATAAATCAATAAACTAATTAATTAATTTTATGCATAAGTGTAAAATGCAAAAAATCGTTGTCATTTTTATATTTATTTAAAGGTTATAGCAAACTAGGTTTGTCTGTGCTAAAGTTTATTTAAAGAGGTAAGTAAATGATAAAAATAGGCAGATCTAAAACTTGCAATTAATAAATTAAATAACTACTAAGCAGTATATTTAAAAATTGTATTGTAGCATATTTATTTATTTATTTATTATGTTTTGTAGTATAACCTGAATCTGAATTTGATTTGACCGACTTGAATATAGGTATGGTATATGTAAGTCAATGGCCGTGCGATCGTAGGTTGACCCGCTTGGGCTAAGTAGAGTATTAGCGAATATGAATCACGGTGCTAGCTTCGCCTTAAGAATATTTCTGTACTTAGCCTTAAACCCAAAAGAATAGTAATAAGTTATAAACAAAACGAACATGAAAGTCCATTTAAAGATTCACAATCGGAAATGGAAGTACCCAGGCGAAACTGTATTCCATATAAATTGCGTATATGCTTTATCTTGTTATCTTCTGCATTCGAAAGATTCCTTTAAGATGTATGCTGTTTATTCAAATTTGCTTTCCAACTCAGAGTTTAAAATATGTTAGTTCTTTTCACTTTTACCCTGACAGTTTGTACATTTCGCATTTACATAGTATGCAAAATTGAAATCTAAGTATGTATTCTAATAAGCCAATCTATAGACAATTTTTTTATTTTCTATTTTATTTTTAGGGCTTTCCTTGTTTCTATGCCTCGCTGGCTCTGCCTCTTGGCTGTGTATTGGCTGACTAAGCTCATTTCTGGCCAAACAAAAAATGTGAATTTACATATTGTTGAGCTCTTTCCAGGCACACAGAGAGAGAGAGTGTGTGTGTGTGTGTGTGTAGGTGGGTGGTTGGCTGTGGTGTTAATGTAAGTGGTTGGTTTGGTGGTTTGCTTCGCTCGCTTTGCAGTCACTTTTGTGGATTTTGCGCATTTGAGTACGCTTGACTGATTTGACAAAGGATCAAGTTGTTAATTTTGCTCGCCGCGCCGACTGCCACTGACAAGTGCCAAGTGACTGGCCAAACAGACAGCGCTTTTCGAGACAGCAAACATGAGCCATGTCAGATTAAAATACTACCACATAAGTACATATATTTTTATGATTTCTTTTCAGCAAATTCTCTTTTTGTGCGCCGTGCAACCGACTGTTGCAAGTGCTATATGTTCAATCTTTAAACAGATATGTGGCTTAAGTACTCGCTTTTGTCATTGAACCAAAAATGGAGTTTCGTTTGTGTGTAGACAGCTGCAAGTGTCATACTCTTCTATCAATTCAATGGAATGGCAGTAGAAAAGGTTACAAAATTTGTTCATTCGAGTCAATGATTTCCCAACACACATACAATACACATAACACAACTTTTAATTAAATTTATCTTCATTTTAATTAACTTTTAAAATTCCTGAATTATATACTTTCTTACTATAATATATCTTTAATAACACCATCCTGCTTAGCGGCACATTCTTATAATGTCATATTTTAACGCATTAAATACTTTGGCTGACACTTGTTTTGTAGGCCAATAATAAATAATAATAATAAAATAATTAGCACTAGGGATGTTTACTCAAGTCTCACAGCTAAAGGTCCTTTCACTTCTTTTTCACTTATTCAATGAGAAAACTTAATGAGGAATACCTGATGGCCAGTCTAAAGTTTATGTTCCCTATCACTAGATGGCGCCAGCTCATCATCAAAGTAGCTGCTGTACATTAAATTTGCAGCCTTAAACAAAAATTGTAATGTAAAAGCGAATGGCAAAAAAAAAATCATAATTTCCTCTTTGCTAAAAAAAAATTAAGGAGCAAAGGAAGAAATCGCAGTTGCCTCGCTTCCTTTTGCGTGGTTTTCGCGCTGTCTCCGGCCCGTAAATGAGCCCTGCCCCCAACAGAACCCCAACGTATCTCCTCGTTTGCTGACATTCTGCTTATTTCGCTTTGCAACGTTTGTCAGAGTTGTAGGCAATTACAAGCTCTACTGAAACATGGGGTACGCCTCGGATGTGGGCAACAGACGCTGCAGACATTGATGAATTTCCTGTCGCATCCTCATCGCCAGTCAGTCTGCCACCAGGTGAGGCAACCGAATCCTACTCAGCGCCAGCCACACCTGGCGCAGCTCAAATAAATTTTTATCTGCACAAATGTCGCTCCCTTTGCCGTTGCCCCATTGTGACTTAATAATTTCCTACTCACGTCCTGCCGGTGCATTGAACTGCGCTGCTGAAGATGCTCCGCATGAGTGGGGGGGGGGTTGGTGGGTTATGCACTTCAAAGTTGATACTTTTTACATGTATATAATTATGTTTGCATCTGCTTATATACGAGATATAGTTTGACAGAACCCCCCTCGAACTGGGCAGGACTTGTGCGTGCATCCAGCTGCATGTCAATGCAAAAGTATTGCAATTAGTTTCAGTTGGTTGGAAATGCACGGGAAATGCTCTTATCCAGGTTAACTTTAAAACTTTATAAAAGCTTGACACACAAAAAAACTCACACAAATTCTTGCACTTGCAACTTAAACTTAACCCAAAACTAAGCGCTTGCATAATTAAAATACATAAGCCGCCTGGCAGAAAGTCCAAGCCTCAGTTATATGCGTGTATATATATCATGAATATTCACTCAAGTCTTTCAAATTGTACTGATAAGTTATTTTGCGGGTTTATCTATAAAATTGTCGATCTAAACGTAGAAAATAGCTCCTAGCCGATGCCTATATTTCCTGTATTTTCATCATTTTGTATTTTATTGTGGTCGAACGAAAGGTTTTGGAATAGAAGACATTTAATCATGACATATAATAATGTCATTCAATGTCATATGATTTAAATATTGAAAAAAATTATTGATAACTTAACTCAAAATATATTGATAAAAGTAAACCCGATAAAGCTGGCAGCTTTTATCTTAAAGTATATTCATCCTATCTAATGGAGAGCAGTAGCAAAACTGTCTGACGAATTTATTTAAATGCTGCTCACGCTAGAAACTGCTCTACTTTTATACTGAGTTTCTGGGTTATATTTCCCTATTTCCGCAGGACCCCGTTACTTTGACTACTTAGACGACCCTTTGCCCTAAAATGTACTTAACATTACTTATATTATTCTCTTGCGGCTGCATTACGCATGTATATTATGCCCTGTAATCACAGCCAAGCGCATTAGTTGCATAAATTAATAGCTTAACAATTACTAGCATATTTCTATGTGCAGCCTGCTTTCCCTTCTCCCCCACCACCTGCCCCTCAGTCGCATTTGTTCCCTTGACTTTACGCGCAACGTGTTGCACTTGATGGGCCGCTCTTGGTTTGCTCATTTTTTTGAGTTTCCGCTGCAAATTGCAAACGTAAATCTTGCCAAGTTTTTCCTGACTAGAAACAAAAACAAAAATTATGAGAGCAATGAAAACTTTGTCACAACGAAGCTCAAATACACTTAAAACAAATCTCATTTATAGAAACTATAACAAAATTCAATGGGAATATTTCGATATACTTTGATATTATCAAGTCTCATATTCACAGCATATTTGTATTTATTTTTAACAGAAAAGAAATTTATATGCTTTAGGCATAAAAATGTCATCATATTTCTAGGTATTGTTGGAACTGTCCAAGATGTAGCCCAACGTCGACTTAAGTAATTCGTTTCAAAGTTTTATGAAAAAGCGCAAAAATTGTGTGCCACACACAGCCATTCTGACACACACACACGCACATACACACACATACACACACTTTACACACATTTGTATAAGTAGAATTTTATTTATTTATGACTGCGTCGGCAGCAGAAACAACTTTCACACGGCTTCACGCGCACAAATTTTACTCGCATTTCTCCGATTTCCACTTGGACCCAGTTTTTATGGTTCTTCTTGTGGTTCTTTGACCAGTAGCGTAATTTTAACTATTTAATGCTAACTTCAGTTGGTTTAAACAAGAGAATTTATTGCCCAACTCTCATTAAATGCGGCATTCTCATGGGAAATTGTAATGGGAATTGCGCTAAATTCATTTTTATAAAGATGTCCGAGCTAGTTTTCTTACGTTTTCTTATTCCAGCTTAATCCATGGGCCAATCAATTATTCCTTCAAGTTGTTTAGAATGATTTGTATATTCCATGGAATCCTTTCTACTTCACCCAATAATTTAATCCTGTAAATTTGATCCAATCATAAAGAGATCTATAATCAAAATTTGCAGCTCAATAACATAAAATTAAGTGAAAATATTTTTGGCAAAAATTTTCAACTAAGCAGCACTTTGATATCAAATACATAACACATCAATATCTTAGTCTAAACTGTAGATAAATACTCATAGATTCTGTGCATGCTTTTATCTAAGAATCCAACTCTATTCCTCTGCCCATAAATTATCAATCAAAGCGAAACTCTTAAAAGTTCAGCAATGGAATTTGAACTCTGAGGGGTGTGGCGAAACCCTGTGATTTGACCGGCATGTGGCATGCAAAGTTGGCCCGCAGAAGCCGGCTGAAAACTGTTTTGTGCTCAATGCCAATTCAATTGACCATGCCCACGCGCCCATAAGCCCACACGTTGACGCCCATATGCAAGGCCAAACTGGCCATTGGCCAAGGCAAATAACACAATCTGGCTGAGATGGTGCCCACGGTCAGGCCGGGCATGCCGGGCAACTTTGCTTTGGGTGATGCATAAAATGCTTTATTTGTCCAGGGCAAACAAAATGAACTGTAACAATATTGATACAGCTGACAATCGAGGGTTCATGCACAAAAGGATTGTTGTACAGCCCGGCACAGGATGCCCGACTGCCGTCGCCCTACTCCTGACTGTCACGTCACGTCTAGACGCCAGCCATTGTCCATTGTGGATTTTTGATTTCCGTTGTGGAGCAGCTTCATTAACTCTGTCCACAAAAGTTGTCATTGCCTTTGGTTAACTCACATGATTAAAAGAAGCGACAGGGCCAAAGTTTGAACCAAATCCCAGGCTGTATCCTGTAGCAAATGATTTGCATGCCAAAACAAAATCCAATTTATTTGCCGTTTTTTTTTCTGTCCAACGTTGGAATGCATAAAAAAGTAAACCGCCCCCAAATTGTGGGGGCAGTAAAAAATGCCATTTGATTTGTCTATAAATTGAACGATGATCGCTTAAATCCAATAAAAAGGGAAATCAACTCTCCCGCAGCGACGACTGTTGACCGCAAATTGTAAATGCACCAAAGTTGGGTGGCGGGTGCATGATTTGCAAGGTAAGGGGGAAGGCTTAACGCTTTTGTTATGCGTTAGCCGACCACGGGCCAATGACATGACAACAACTGTTGTTGATTTTCTGAGAGTTGGTTTGGCGTTGTCCGCTTTTTCAGGTTAGTTTTACTAACTTTCCGCTTCCTGAAACAACACATAAATCGTATTCTCTTTATCGACTATTTTACAACTTTGACACAATACGAAGGCTACACCAATACCCATGCCGGAGATCAGAATGCTCGACCAAGAGCTACCTTGTGCAAAGCTCTAATACAATCCCAACTATGATTTTGTCATGAACCCGTGCTAGTCCGGAATTCCAATAGAAACCAAACCTTGAACCGAAGCAATCGACAATAACAACAACTGTTATTATGTGCTGCCTTGATGAGCAATAACTTAAGGCTACCCTGCGAAAAATGTACTAATTTGGATTCTTTCATGAGCTCGAAAGTAAGTGGATGTGTAAGATCTAGTTCAGGAATTAAATTCTATGAAAAATTAACATAAATATTTTGATATATCTTGATAAGTAGATATATATTTTTAAATACAACATTTTCCGATAATACAACTTAACTAAAATCGCGAAACTCAACTTAATAACTAAATTTTAACACTAACAAAAATATTTCCAAAGTCCTACCCTATAACGCAACCAGTATAACTATAGATTTGCTCACTTTCGATAATATCACGGCCCCAATGGTGCTTGGCTTTACGTATTCGCGGCTTGTCGGATCCATTGACTGGTGGCTCTGGGCTACGCTTTATTCCCCAACAACGGCGGTGAAGAGTTTCCGGCGATTCCATTTCTAGTTCCACATAATGCTCATCAAAAAGACCCGATCTTGGTATATCAGGTGTCATTTCCTTGATACAGCTACATTTACTGCTCTCTCTTGTCTGAACCGGAACCAGTCGTTTTATATTGCACAAAGGAAATGGATCGTGCAGCTGACAGCCACAATAAACAGATCTCCCGCCTTGAACAATGGATGTTTCGCTAACATTTATCCATAAATCGTCGCCAGTTGTGCGCGATTCCATTTCGTAGGTGTTTGAAGTATATTTATAAGTTATTTATATTTATATTTGTTAATCTACATTTTTTTTAAATAATTTCTAAGGCAGTAAAGGAAATGAAAGGTTTGCCGTGACGATTGACTACAAATAAAACTTTTCTATTCCTTTTTAATTTGAGGAAAAATGTAAAATGGAACCAGTAGAACTATCAAAGTTGACGAAACTCGGGAAATTTGGATACAAATTCGAATCCGGGATCGAATTCAAGTTTTAGAGAGTCGTGTCTTGTACTTTCTCTTCGGTAAGTCCGAAATTGTATGGGCTAATAATCAAGATTGTATCTCTTACGTGTATTGAATACTACCTTTAGTTCTGAACATGAGAAAATACGCCATACTATGCGAATCTCATTAATTCTCATAGTATTATATATATAATTTGGTAAGCAAAATAAATGCTGAAAACATCGTTAGCGGAAACTGAAATTTGTTAAAATATTATAATAATATTTACAAATACCAAACACATTTTTTTTTTGTTAAAGAATATTTCAGATTAGTTAGTTTGATATTTGATACAATTGATTGAAAGCTTAAAACGGAATAAACAGGTCAGCCCTTATAGAAGGCCAACAGAGTTGGCTGTTGAAGTATATCATAATTTTATAGTAGATACTTATCTATATGCATATGTTTTGCTTTATTCAGATTTCAATTGTCTGGTACAATGTTGTGATTCATCTCTATACATACATAACGTGAAATGAATTAAATAACTATTCACTTAGTATATAATTTAATGTTAATGCAAAAACAAAATGAATACATTATAATAATTTGTATATGAGTGTGTATATATGTATTTGAACTAGCGTGTGAATGTGTGGGTGTTTATGTGAGAGACTGGGTGATTTTAGGAGATAAATGTTTTTTTTCGCATATATTCAATAATTTCATTCCAATTTGTTCATTAGTGCTAATTTATGTTGGTGTAACTCGTAACTCGTATATCAGCATCTGATAAAAGTCCGTTAATTTTCTATATATTTGTTTCTAAAGGTTAGCCAAGAATTAATACGGGATATTATTACTCTCGATTTTCAAGTATACATGAAATTTTTGACTAATTTTATGATTATATGCAACTGCTTTTTGCTTTATTCGAAATTTACCTGTGTCAATCCGAAAGTTTTATATGTATACATCGTATATTTGGGGCTTATGTATATGAAGTATGAGTGTTATAGATTGGAAGTATATAACAAATAAGCGCTATGCAAAACTTAGCTGGAAGAAAGGAGAGCCATAGACTCATACAGTTGGCAATCTAAAATTTTCGATTGAGTACTACAAATTTTAATACTTCTATGGTTCCTAACAGTTTCGTCTTTCATAAGCAGCAATTATTATTAAAGTGAAAAAATAAAATATTTGTTGTTGACCAAGTTTAATAATGTTTACAGTTTGCTATATGTATGGTATAAGTATATCTTATGTGTAGATGTCTGTGAGTTTTTGTGTGGGTGTGTAAATAAACATAATGAGAAATATTGCATAGAAGTGTGTTTATATATATATTTATACATATATATATCTGATTGTGTTATGTGTATCCGCTGTCGGTTCTTTCGAGTTAATATAGTTTACATTTTAAGTTTGGGTTTTCGTTTAGTTTTATATTTTAGGTTTCTTATGTGTCTACAAATAAATTTAAACAGATTGTTCTTTTGTTTGTTGATTTTACTTAAAAGTAAATTGCTAAAATTAAGCAAACATTGTAATAGTTTAAGTTTAAAGAAACGCAATCAGTACATACATAATTACAAAATTATATGTAAAATTATGTACAATATATTCAAGGGATTTTTTTTTTTTGTCGTATATATTTTTATTAAATACAAACTGTTTTTGTTTTCCGTGCCTAATGTGCGTGTGTGTAATAAATATTTTGCATATGCATTTTAAAGGTAATGTGTTATTTTTTTGTTTTATACGTTTTTCTTGCTGGAAAAACTGATATTTTGAATATGAGTTTTTGGAATTTCAAGTTGTTTTTTGCTCGACATTTGTTTTGGTTTCCTTCGCGCATGTTTAACATAGTTCGCATTAGAATTTAAGGTTGAAAATTACATATTTAAAATAAAATTGTTAACGTTCTTCAACTTCATCAATGCCCGAACACATTACAAATATATTCTGCATATCTGTTATCTATTATGTGATTATCTTTCTTTTTTTTTGTTTACTTTTACTTTTTAAGGAGGTACTAATTTGTTAACACTTCCGCGCTGGCCATATTCCGTTTCTTGCGCTTTATTTTGTTCCATTGCCATATCCATGTTTCTTTTATGCTTCTGGCAATTCACAAAGCCATGTTATTTCTTCGTCCATTGACCTTATTCACTAGATTGCATATTTTTAAGGCTGGCCCCAGCTTTAGGCCCATATATTTCATCATCATCTCCGAGTTAAGTAAAAGCAAGGCTTTGCCATCGATTTCCTGCAGATTAAAGAGAATGTATACAACTAATGAGTATTCAGTTATATTAGGTCTATCACATTTTGGCTACTCACGTGCTTTCTGAAGAGATCGCCATGCACAGCCAGCGAGTTGTCATTGCTCTCGATATACTGGATGACCTCTTCGATGGACCAGTCGATAGGTTGCGCTCGCAGATGCGAACAAGCCGTCGATGTAGGTGTGCTGAGCGGTGAGGTGATGGCTGTACCCGCATAACTACTGGATGCAGATGCAGCCACTGGCGCTGTTGCCGCTTTGGCAGCGCTGGCAGCCGGCGCTGCCGGACAGGCCGACTGTGAGGCGGTGAAAGGCGTGGATACCGAAGACGGAAAGGAGGCGCTTGATGATAATGTAGTTGGAGATTTATAGTAGCTGCTAGGTGGCTTGGCGCTTAGCTGCTCTGGATGCACCTCGGCGACGAGTGGTGCCAAATATTTTGCATTTACTGTGCCGCCGGCTAAGCTATTGCTACTGTTTCCGCTGCTGCTGCTACTGCTGGAGGAGTTGGAAGAGGAGGAGCTGTTGTTACTGTTGCTGCCCGTTGAGCCCAAGTTGTTGCTCGTCTCCTGCTGGCAGTTGCCATTGTTATTGTTGTGATGCTGGAAGCGCACCTTGCGCAACGCCTGTGCCTGATTCTGCGCTGAGGCTGTCGCTGGGACGTTGTTCGGCTCCACTTTGATAGCCAGCTTGACACTGCTAACATTATTGTTGCTGTTATTGTTGTTATTATTATTGTTGTTGTTGTTGTTAGTATTGTTGTTATTGTTGTGGTTTAATGTCTCCTTAGTGGCTTTGCTTGCGGGCTGCTGCGTCTGCGCCTTGACACCCGCTTCCTGCTTGATAATTAACGGCTTCTCGGCGGGCGATGTAGGCGTGGGCGTGGCGGATTTGGATTGACGGCTGCGTTTCTCGGCCAGCACAGGCGACGCTGGCGGCGTTGCGGTCTGCAACAACTGACGTTTTCGGCTGTTTGCGCACTTCTTGCACTCCTCGGTCTCTGGCATCAATGAGATAAGATTTGCACATGCTCGGCATGTGATGCATAGCGTCTCAATAAACTGGGCCAGGCTTTCATCATCCTTCATGCGCAGCGGCGAGGGTATTTTGACCTGAAAAACAGCAGGGGATCAGCTATAACTGGAAGTTTGATAAGTTAACAAGAAATTACCGTAAAATTCTTGCCAGCAGCGGTCACAATATGCACATCCCCGTCGAGCGCGAAGAGCAGCTTGGACAACTGCTGTGTATCTGTGCTGGCGGCCAGCACCTCTTGAAGGCAAAGCTTGGCGAGCGTCTGATGCGTCGGCCCCGTCACCATAGACGGTAGCTTGGAGCCATTAATAAAGGGTCCGCCCTTGCAGTTGGTGTGAAAGTGCGCCGTTACCGGGGAGGCGGCCACCATGGCATCCGACTCAGCGACAACGGTATATCTGGGACGCGGGCAACGCTGCTTGCCAGAGCTGGAGTCCATGCGTGACTTATGCCCCGGCGGCTGCATGGGATGGCAGCTGCGCGCGCACCAACCAGCTGGGAAAATGTCACGAGAACGATAATTGCACCAATAGTCGAAGGCGCCGCGCCAGCCATCGAAAGTGACATGAATTTGATCATCCTTGATGGCATCAACTGTTGCGCAGCAAATCAGTTGGGGATTCTTTTTGTCCACCGCCTCCAGTTTCTGGCCAACCTTAAAGAGATTCTCAGTGGGCGTCGGCGGCTCCGGTTGGAATATCTCCTCGGGCGCAACCATTGCATTGTTGAGTATCTTGCAAAGATAGCCGGGCCAGCTGGAAGCATTCATGCGGAAACCAAGAGGAGGCTGCAGCATGCCACCATTCTTCTCGCAATGCCCGATCGCATGGATCTCCGTCGAGTCGACCAGGCGCCAGAAATCGTTCTGTGAGTCGCTGCCGTCGAGTCGCAGGCGCAATCTTGAGCCCAATACGCCCACTACCGTCGCAATACAGGTGGAAGTGACGTTGCGTGGATCTAGTGCCTCCAGTTTCATCCCAATCTTAAAATCGTTGTTGGGCGGATTCAGCGCCTGCTTGAAGCACTCGGCGGGCGCCGCATCACTGCCAGTTTCCTAACACACACCACAGACAAGTAAAGATTAGCCGATTAGCCTTCAACAGCTTCTAGAACCAACACTACTCACCTCCAGATAGGCATCCCAGTCGAATACATGAAAGCTCTCGTACTGAAAGGGACCGGTGGGTGCCGGCGCACCGCTGCTTAGCAATTTGCGCTCCCCATCTGCAGCGCCACCAGCGCCTGCAGCACCACCACTGCTGTGCCGCGTCGACCCGTTTTTCTTCTGATGCTTGTTCATACACATCATGGAGCAGAATTCCTTATTGGGCGCACCCTCGCGTATCACGTTGTCACACTGCGTGCACGCCCCCTTGCTGTACGCCTTACGGAACTCGGCGATGCATGTCTCCGAGCAGAACTCCTTTTTGCCCGTCTGTGTGGGCAGGACGTACTGTAACGGCAGCTTCCCTTCGCCGCACCAGGTGCATGTCGCCCGCTTAGCCGGGCGACCGCGGGCGCGCTGCTGCGTCGGCGTTTGCGGTGTGCTGGAGTTGGCAGCGCTGTTGCCGTTACTACTGCTGGCGCTTGCGCTGCTGTCGCGTCCGCCAGACATTTTTGCGTTGTTTTCGTTTTTTTAACCACGTACTTTTGATTTTTATATTTTTACCTTCACTCCACCTTAATTAATCAGTTAATCTGCATCGTAGTGACGCATTTAGCTCACGCAGTGTTGCATTTGCACTAGATATATTCGTTTTAAGGTAAAATAACACTTTTTGCCACGGATCTGTGAATTTTAATTTTAGCGGCGTTCTCGAGGTCACGTAATAACAAATTTGTATTTGTGTTGACTGTGCAAATCGCATTGCAGCAACAAACGAACTCACATACGAACATGAGAGAGCGCACAGCAAGAGCTATTAATTTCTATATACTCAGCAATTGTACATTGTACGCGGTTAAATGATGCTTGCGATTGCGAATTAGTTAGATTTTTTTATTTTTCTTTGCATTTGCGTTCCGCCATATTTGTTTTCCTAGCGATGAGAAAGTGTCAGAGATGTGCAGCATTTGTGTAACTGTTACTTATGGCAGGAAACGCACAGCACGGCTGGTCGCTGTTTGAACTACAAAATTATTTACTATAGCCTTGCAAACTGCGATTATGCATAAATGTGAAAGATCTAAATAAATTATTTTATTTATTCTTCTAAGGATATTATTTTAATCATTTAAGAGTATTCATATTTGAGTTCAATCAATCGTCAGCTGCCACTGTGACAAAGAAGGCAAGGTACTCTCATCTCTATGGTGGTTGCTTAGTGCCGACAAATATATCGATAACAATGCTATATCGTTATGTTAATTTCAACGCGATATGTTAACAATTTTCCTTTTCTTGTGCCTATTACAATAAAATTTGCAATATTAAAACATAGAAACATCAATATTCAGATATTGTTAATTCCAAACAAAACCTAAGGTAGCACTTTGTTGCTAAGCGACATCTAGCTGGCGCCCTCTACATCTGGCTTGTGGATGCCTTCTCAACAGTTGCTCAACAGTTAGCAGTAAGCTGAACGAAGAGAATTCGCGCGAATTTAACTAAAAACGGTTTGAATCTAGAAAACCAGTTTAGCTTTATTTCAAATTAAAGGGTTCGTATGACCTAGTTTTGTTGCTATCATAATGACATTAAGTGCGCAGCTATAAATTGCTGAGCACTACACGAAATTAACCATGTAATGCAATTAGGCGCAGCAAAATGGGCCCATACCCTGCTGTGCCATCCAATCCGTACCCCTTCCACGCACCCAAATCCAGTCCCATTGATTTCTCTGGCTTATTTCTGCATATATCCAAACGCGCTCATAAATCAAATTTGGACCGGCCGCAGGGGCGAAACAGCTGACAAATGCTTTAGCACAGTGGGCGTGAATTGTGAGTAGGTGCGTGTGTGTTTGTGTGTGTGTGTGTGTACTTTTAATCGCCTCCAACAACAAATCAACGCCAAAATCGGCGCAAAAAATCAAAATCACACACACACACACACACAGACTGACAACTGCATCTCTGTGAAATATATTCGCCTGCATTTGTTCATGTGTTCATCCATCTGGCAGCCCTGGCATGCAGCCATATTTTGCCCCCACGCACACGAGCAGCTGCTACGTAGAAATCAGGAAATGCAAATAAATTTGCGTGAATATTTGGCTACACACAAAAAGCTAACAAAAATTTGCGCATAGTTGAGCCATTCACATTCCACGACCACCTGTTCATCTAAATAACAAAATCAAAATCATGCCCAGAAACTGCACCATTTATATTTCAGTCACAGTTAATGCCAAAAGTTAAGCGCCAAGCACTTCGATAGCTGCTTAAACTAGAAACTTCTACGCTGTAATTATTGCTGTCCAAGCAGAAAAGTTTTTTCTTTTTTGCCTTTTGTTTTTGTGGTTTTCTTAGTTAAATATTTAGCTTAGCTCTTGGCCAAGTTTGGGAGGATTTCGTTGCCTGTTTTTGCTTAACTTGGCTGTAACTCGGTTTCATTTATGGCGCTTCTTCTACAGGCAATAGCGAAAGCAAAAGCTGCTCAAAAATTACGATGCAAATGAAATTAACTACACAAAAAGTTTGAGCCAGAAACAATTTGTTACTACAAAGAAGCCCCTAAAGTCAATTTAAGATTTGCAAGCGATTTGGGCTCGCGGTAAAGTAGTTAATCAGCTAAGCAGTTAATATATGCTGAGATATTGAAATTTAGTAGATAACTTGAGAGAATTTGAATTCTTCGAGTAGAGTGTGCGGTGACTTGTTAATCAATTGAACCCTATTCTTATATGAAATGCTATGTAGGCAGTTTGAGAGCATGTCATAAATTTAATAATTGCTTCTGTTTATCGACAGCAGCTGTCAAGATGACCCTCAGGTTCCTTGACATCGCGACTAGAGACTGGCGGCTGCGAAGGGGGTTGTTGGGTGGGTGCGAGGGGCCACATTAACACGCATAATTGAGCCAAGTGACGTTTACTGTTTAAACGCTTGTCAAATCGACGCTGCGCAATTAGAAATTGTCGCCCCCAATGCGCCAAGGCCCCCCCATTGACTTATTACGTAAATCAAACAAAAGATTGAGACTCGAATGGTGGTTGGGCGCGAGGATTTGAGCTTTGTCGTGATTTTAATCAACATGTTAATGAGTTTATCTCAGCCAGCTCGAGTGTTTCATCAGTGTTAATGATTCTGTTATTGCTTGACGGCTATTGACTGACGATCAAATTGTTGGCCCAGGCTAATGAAAATGTTTAACTTTGACACCACTTGAGCTGGCAAACTTTTGTTCGTCTGAGCTGCTTAAGTGTGGGCAGCGCATGGGAAAGGGATTACAACTTGCAGGAGCTTAGTTAAATGTGCAAAAGTTATCTCTGGCTTATATTTAATGGCCATTTTGGCTGGATACTATAATTGTTTAAGACAAGTTTGTTTGTCAAAGCACATTTAACCAGTATTTTATGCTATTAAAGCTTTGAAAGCACATAAAAGCTTCTGGAGATCTTTTGTTACTGAATACAAAGTTTAAAACGTTTTGAAACCATGTGAACGCATTAAATAAGCTTTAGTGCTATTCATTAGTTGCGTTTATTTGCTAAGTATTTGCTGAGGTGCTCGACAATCTTCTTAATGTCAGTCATCACATATCTTTTTAACAACTTACCAACACTGCCATTCGCTAATTTTCAGCATACAAAAATCGTAAAATACTCACTACATTAGCTTCCTTAGCTATTATTAGTGTATCTACAAAGAATTATCTTATGATTGATCAACACTTTCTATTCCAATTCAGTCACATAAGTATTTCCTTAACCATTTGAACTCAATTATAGATAACTAGTTTTTCACTGCTTTTACGACATCAGATTACCATAATAAATAACCATTTCCAACACACACACACACCCTCCCAGAGTCGTCATTTGTGAAGTGGCAGTCAGTGCTGTAAAGCGTCAGCAACTTTTTGACAGATTTCAATCAGCCGCAAGGCAAATGGTTAACACAAAGGACAGCAGCAGCAGTTGGCGTTGGCAATGGGTAACAGGACTCGGCCCACGTGTTTAATTACACCCGGACACCCATTGACAGCGATTAAAACGGATGAAAAAGCTGTTGAGGAACAGGCAGTGGGGCAATGTGCGTCGCAATCTGATGAATGGTGGCAACACTGTTGCGGCGACATTTTGACAATTCATTTGAGCAAAAGGTTAAATCGGAACGAGGGCCAGGCACATGCCAATATCCATAAAAGTGATAAAAACGCATATATTGAGAGACACGATTCTTGGTGAAAGATGTGCACAATGCTATCGAGAGTTATAAATGAGATTCCCGCAGGATCAATTTTATTGCTCTATAGCCAAGCATATGGTGCATATGGTGCAGCATATGGTGCATATATAAATATGTGTTAAATCGCATGCAATACTCAATACTAAGTACTCACACTTAAATACTCTCACATAAACAATTGGATTGTTTTTTTTTGTTTTTCAGAGATAAAAATGACTGGCGTGCAATTTCACACCTGAATGATGATCGGCGAGTGAACTGCCAAAAGCTGTTAGCCACATGGCCATGAGGATGGCTCCATGTCGAACCCTTTGACAGGGCTTAAAAAAGAAAAAAAACAATTGATGTGCAAATAAAAACTCATTAAATATTAATTGAGTTCGATAATTAAAAGACAAAGTGGACGCGTAAAAAACAAACATAAATCTGTGGCCAAATGTTGCTGCAACATGTTGTTGACTCACAGTTGGCAACAGTTGCCGTTAGCTTCTGTGGCAACATTCGAACGTTTGAATTTTGTACCTGTAACTGCCATTGTCCAGAGTTTTTGTTTGGGGCAACATGTGAAGCCACCCACGAAGGTGCGTGCCGCATGGTTTCATTCATAACTAGACGCGTGGCGAAATGTTGAGGCTTCGTTCTCGTCCTGGTGCTCGTCCATTCGTCGTCGCTGCTCGGCTACGTGCTGTGGCACTTCGTGCAGCGCTCAGCGTCCTTGCCTTGCAATATAAAAACAAGCGTTCTACGCTTCGAGCTCTGAGTTCTTCGCTCGTCGTCAGCCTGTTGCGTTCTGGGACACAGCCCAAAAAAAAAAGACAGAAAAAGCCCAGCTCCGTCAGAATAGGACCAGGTCCTTAAGACCGTCTTTATAGCCCCCAGTTAAGACTTGAATTTCAATATAATTTTTGTGCAAACAAGAAATACTCAAAATATTCAAATTTCAAAATTTCTCTTGTCTCATTTGGTTTAAGTGCCGTCGCGCGTGAGCACATAAAATAAAATTTGTGAGCCAATTTAATAGGCAAACGAGTCGCAAATCTTGAAAACCATAAATATTTACCCAGTGTTAAGATCAAACGAAATATTTTCCCGGCCAATTACCAAATTGATAAGGTGCTAACGTTTTTATGTGAGAAAATTGTTACCACACAGGCAGAAAAAATAAAATAAACGAAACTTATTCGCTTTTTGGTGTCATTTAACGCGTTATCAAGCGGACGATTTGCATTTTGGTGGATTAGTCCATATCAACGATATAACTGGTGGGTAAAATGCATATTTTGAAAAGATTATCGATAAAAAGAAGAAGAATATGTATTAATGTTTCAATTTAAGCAAATTAAGTTAAAATAAATTTCAAAAAACTTAAATAAAGTAAAATATCGGTTAAATTGTGGAAAGGAAAAACTCTGATTTATTCGAATCTATTTTTATTTTAAAATGAATTTAAAATTGTATTAAAAAATATAGTCGAATATGGTGAAAAGTGAAAAATTCATTCAAAAATAGCAAAAAGCTTACAATCTTCTTGTAATGTTGCGATTAAATGCTACAAATGAGAACTTTTGACATAAAATGGATCGATATAATAACTTTTGCAAGGGACTACAAGAAGATTAAAGAAAAACTCTTAATCTTTGACGAGTTTTTTTTAGAATTAGTGAAATTGCTTAGTAACTTACAGACTTACGTTAAATCAAGCAAAAAATA